TTTTTTTTTGGAATAGCTTACAAATAGAATACTGAAATTCAGCCTTGTTCCTCAGATTCAGAGAAGTAACAGGAAAGTAAGCTGATAAACATCTTTCCTCCAACAGAGGCAAAGTAAGATAATTTTGTTTGCTTCAGAATATATGTTTTGTTCATAGTCAAGAAGTTAGAGAATAGTTTTCTTATTCACTATTTGAGTAGTCTTTGATTCCCTGATTTCATATTTAAACATGATGTAAACACATGACCACACTACAATAAATTAGTGCATTCTGCTGATATGATTACCTGCCTACCTTGTTCTTCGGTCCAGTAGAGACTTCCCATCTTTCCTAGTAGGAATGTAATATAGATTTAACAAATAGATCATTCCAGTTGTAGCTTACTGAGGACGTATAAGTCTTATGGTTGGAATATAAATCCAATTATGATAATTGGACCTCACTAACTTCTTATAACATAGTACACATCCAACATTAGCTTTACCCTTCTCCAAAATTCATTTTAATTTCCTGAATGAACAAACAACTAGTGTTATTTCTTTTAGTATAAGAGAGTTTTGTCTTATACAGCACTGTCATAGTAAACGCAAATGACTCCAATGGTGCTGAGGAAAACATCCTGCACTTTTGGTAGTATCTGATTAACAGTAATGCAAGAGGCTTTGCTGATCTGTACTTGGCAGAAAACTGTGGTGTGAGGGGCTGGGGCGATAGCTAAATAGAATAAGTGCTTGCGTGGCAAGCGCAAGGGCCTGAGTTCAATCACCAGTTGAAAAAAAAAAAGAAAGAAAGAAAGAAAAGAAAACAAAAGAGAAAGAAAAAATGAAAACTGTTGTGAGTCATACCTTAGATTGCTCTAAAATATCTATAGAATCTACAGAATTTCCTGAACTATCAATCTTATCTTTGATGAAGCACAGAGATAAAATGGCATTTTTATGAATTTTATTTGTGTATGCATATGAAGTGATAGTGTTTCATATAGTTTGGCCCAAAAATGACAGATAATGAGAAGAAAATATATCTCAAGTGTATAATTATTTTTTATGTTATGGAAAAAGTGTGAACTATTAGGGGCTACCCACTGCTAAAACCAACAGAAATGATAGGACCCTAAAT